TTTTCAGCGAGGGGAGGGGAGGCCGATGTGAGGGAGGCCCATGAGAGGTGAGTTCTGAGAACTAAGAAGGTGCCGGATTCAGAATGGAGTCCCTTGTGCCAAGACCAGGCAGTGTCTCTCAGCCCATTCTGTCTTCTGGAAAAAGGACCTAAATTGCTTCCATTTCCAACCAAAGGTCACATGTACAGCAATGACATCAACTGTGAACGTTCACGTGGTATTTTCTGTATGCGCCTATGGCAGTTTTTTTAAAAGTCATTTTATTGGGGGCTCATACAACTCATCACAATCCATACATACAGCAATTGTATAAAGCACATTTGTACATTTGTTGCCCTCAGTTTTTAAAAATTATTTTATTGAGGGCTCGTATAATTCTTATCACAGTCCATACATACATCCATTGAGTCAAGCACATATGTACACCTGTTGCCCTCATCAGTCTCAAAACATTTGCCCTCTACTTTAGCCCTCAATATCATTTGCTCATTTCCCCCCTCCCTCCTGAACCCTTCATAATTCATAAATTATTATAGTTTTGTCATAAGTTACACGCGCCTATGGTAGTTTTAAGAACTCACATACGATATCCTGTATTAGGCTTATGTTTAATTATGCATACTACATATTCATATCTTTAGTTGGATCTGAAAATGGTCTCTGTTTACACAAAACAGCTCTATTGAGACAACCCCAGTAGGTAGAACCCTCCCACCACACACACACAAAATCTTGTCTTTCAAAGCAGACGTACTGTTTTGTCAACTGGATTGTTTTCCGTTTTGGAGGCAGCCCAAAGGGTGCTGGGATGGAGTATGGGTGAGCATAGGACAGGGTTGGGAAGTGACAGAGCTTGTCACAAAAGGGGAGGGTGGGTGAGGGCAGGCAGACGGAAGAGAAGGACGAAGATGGCCCCCTACATGTGTGTCAGTTGGACATTGACTAAGAAAGACCAGGGAAGAACTGATGTATTTCAACGATGGTGCGGGCAAAGAATATTGAAAGTACCACGGGCTGCCAAAAGGACAAACAAATCTGTCTTGGAACAAAGGCAGCCAGAGTGGTCCTTAGAGGCAAAGATCTTAGAGGCTAAGACTTTACGGGACTCTCATTTTAGGGTGCGAAGGCTGACTTTTTAAGAAGGTGCTAATGGAAGAAGGACAAAGCTTTCTATACCCGTAAAGAGTCTTTATAGGACCCTGTCCCATAGGGTCACTGTGAGTTGGCATCAACTCAGTGGCAGTGGATTTGTTTTGTTTTGTTTCGAGGGCAAGAGAAGGAGCTCTGGTGGTGTACTAGGTCACGTATTGGACTGCTAGCCACAAGGTCAGCAGTTCAAAACCACCAGCCACCCGATGGGGGAAAAAACCATCACTTTCTATGCTGATCAAAAGTGACAGTTTATGGGAAAAATGAGGAGCTGATTTTGATGCCAGGGGCTCAAGTGGAAAGCAGATGTTTTGAGAATGATGACGGCAACAAATGTGCAATGTGCTTGACACAATGGATGGATTGTGATAAGCCTTGTATGAGCCCCCAATAAAATGATTTTTTTAAAGTGACAGTTTTTAAGAAAATGTTCCAGAATTGAATAGGGTGACAATTGTACAACTCTTCTTGATGTGGTTGAATTATGGAATTGTATGGCATGTGGATGAGGTGCTCATAAAGCTATTTCAAAAAAGAAAAGTTACAGACTTGTAAACCCACGGGGCACGTCCACCCTGCCCTATAGGGTAGCGATGAGTGTGAATCAACTCAGTGAAGTGAGCTTGGCTTTGTTTGTGTCCTTTGAGTGAAGAGGAGTCCTTACCTATGCTGAGTGCTGCAAAGAGGCCGGTGACTTGCCCGAGAGAGACATGGCGACAGGATTGGGAAGGGTGGGCCTGGGCTATGAGCTGGCTGAGAACGGTGTCTGGTTTGCTGTGGGTAGATGCTGTGGAAAAGGCGAGAGACACAAGTCCAACCCTTTCTGGAGCACCTACTGGGGTAACTCTGAAGGGAAACCTAATTGTTTTGAGCAAGATGCCTGTGGTAGTCACATCATCTGGTGTCAATTTGTGGAGGGGTTGAATCTAGCCTGTCAATCAGGTTGCAGCTTGATGACCTCATTTGGAGGATCGAAAAACAGCTCACTGGAGGCCAGATGCACGCTCCCTGCAAGACTTATTCCTGTTGACGACACATAAAGCCACGCTAGAGCCCTGGAGCTGGAGGAGCCACGT